ACCCAGGGGATAGCTTGAGGCTCCGTCTCAAAAAAATAATAATAATAAAATAAAATAAAATAAATAAATAAATAACTGAGGCAAGAGGATTGCTGGAGCCAGAGTTGGAGGTTGCTGTGAACTATGACACCATAGCACTCTACCTCGAGTGACAGTTTGAGACTCTGTCTTAAAAAAAATATATATATATATATAATTAAATATTTATTTATTTTTGGTACAGACTCTTAACTCTGTCACCCTGGTAAAGTGCCATGACATCATCATAGCTCACAGCAACCTTGAACTCCTAGGTGCAAGTAATCCTCTTGCCTTAGTTTTTCTATTTTTAGCAGAGACCAGTATAGCTCTTACTCAGGCTCATTGATCTCTGAACTCCTGAGCTCAAGCAATCCACCTACCTTGGCCTCCCAGAGTACTAGGATTACAGGCATGAGCCACCACTTTCGGCCTATTTTTATATTTTTAATTTTTTTTAATTTACAAAAATAATATACATTTGTGGTGATAATTTTGAGCAATATAGATACACATAAAAATTTTTAAATTTTCCCACAATCCTCTTTCTCATAGGCAATCATTATTAAACAGCTCTTAGATATTTGGTAATACTAATTAATAACAGGATTTACTTATTTTTGTTTGTTTGTTTTGAGATAGAATCTCACTTTGTCACCCTTGGTAGAGTGCTGTGGCATCACAGCTCACAGCAACCTCAAATTCTTGGACTCAAGCGCTTCTCTTGCCTTTGCCTTCCAAGTACAGCTGCCTACCACAAGGCCTGACTACTTTTAGAAATGAGGTCTTGCTCTGGCTCAGGCTGGTCTCAAACTCATGAGATCAGGCGATCTATCCACCTGACCTCCCAGAGTACTAGGATTACAGGAGTGAGCCACCACGCCTGGCCTTGGATTTACTTGTAAACTGAGTGATTTGCTTATAAATTTCTAAAACAGAGTTCTCAAAGTGTGGTCCCAGAACCAGGAGCATCAGCGTAACCTGGAACTGGTCTAGACTAGTGGTTCTTAAATTTGAACATGCATCAGAGTTCCTTGGGGAATTTATGGGAACACTGATCACTGGGTCTTATGTCCAGAGTTTCAGATTCAGCAGGCCTAGGGTGGGGACCAAGAATTTATATCCCTAACAAGTTCCCAGGTGATGCTGCTGATGCTGTTGATGCTTCTGGTGCTGCTGGCTCAGGGACCACACTTTGAGAACCACTAGTCCTATGCCTCCAAGGACTAATGGCAGTGGGCCTTGGGACACAGAGGGGTGAGTACATCTTTCCAAATGGAAGACTATGGCCCACTTTGCCTGACTCCCAAGAACAGGGACTGTAGCTGACCAAGTCCTGGGAACATGTGGCCATGCCGGGGTGTTCAGTTTGGACAGCTGAGAATCTGGTGCGGAAACCACAGACACCAGCCAGGGGCATCTTATAAATTGTTTTCTCTTTTTATCTGTCTTGGCACCCACCTAGTTCCACAATCCTCAGTGCCCTCCTCCCCTCATCTTGATTTGCCTGGAGTATTCAGCCTTCTAGAAGCTGTAAACTTT